TTAACCAGTGAAGCTGTCTAGGCCTGGAATTTGTGTGTGTGGCAATGTTTCTCTGTTTAACTATAAATTCAGTTGTCTTCAATAAATATAGGCCTACTTTAATTATATAATTCATCTTGAATAAACTTTTCTTGTGTCTTTCAAGAAATTTGTCCATTTCATCTAAGTCATTGCATTTACCGGCATCAATTTGTTCCTAACTTTCTCTTCTCCCTTGAATCTGTAGAATCCGCAGTGAGAAGTCGCTTCTCACATTTTTGGTAGAAGTAGTTTCTGTCCTCTCTCTTTTCAGAAGTTGTGTTTTCATTTAATTCAGTTGAAAACAATGTCTGTTTTCCTTTCTGTTTCTTTTTTTGAATCATGAATTATTTAAATATGTTTCCAGAGATTGTTAAATAGTTTTCAGAGATTTGGAGATATTCCAAATATCATTCTGATAGATTTCTAACTTAATTAGATTGTGATCAGAGAATATACTTAGTATGGCTTAAACGTATTTAAATTCAAGACTAGTTTTATTACCCAAAATATTACCTGTTCTTGTAAATGTGCTAACTATAGTTGAACAGCATGTGTAGTCAACATGTTTTAGATGAAAGGTACTCTAAACATCAATTAGATTAAGTCAGATGAAAGTACTATTCAAGTTTTCCACAGCTTTACTGATTTTCTGTTTAGGTGTTCTATAATTTAGAGTAGGATATTGAAATCTGAAATTATAATTGTGAACCTATGTACTTTTCTCTTGAAATTATATCAGTTTTGCTTTATATATTTTGAACTTTTTTATTAGATGCAAAAATATTTAGGATTTTTATGTCTTTTTGATAACTTATCCATTTAGAATTATAAAATAATTTTATTTCAAATTCTTATTTAAATGCTTTAAATTCTACATTGCCTATTATAAATATATAGCTATTCTAGCTTTCTTTACAGTGTCAGAAGGGTAAATTTTTCCATTTTTTCACAAGTTGACTATTGAGCTTTTAACCAATATCATCATCCATTTCTTACTTTTTCTTTCTTTATTTTTAACTTCAAGAGGGCATGTGTGCTTGCCAGAGAGAGACAAAGAGAGAGGGAGAGGGAAAAAGCACCCCCCAGTGGGTATGGTCATACTCTAATCCCTCCTCCTCAATTTCTCCATCCTGTTGAAATTCAGGATACATACTCACATGTGCCTGGAGTGTTTTTCTTTAAATTTTTTTCCTTTTTTTGGAGATGTTTTTGCTATAGGGCGCATGTACTCCCAGAAAGACAGAGAGAGAAAAAGAGACAGAAAGTGAGAAATCACCCCCCAGAGGGGATGGCCACGCTTCAATCCCTTCTCTTCCATTCTCCTCTCAGGATTTTGGTCACGCACGCACATGCATCTGGTGTGAGTTGAAGCCACTGGGTCTAGGACTCGAACCAGGGTCAACTACATAGGAGTCCAATGAAACAGTCATTGCACCAATTGCTGGTCCTGTGCCTGGAGTGTTTTTCAAGTCACCAGGACCAGGATTCAAACCATGCTCGGTCATGTAGGATCTGACTCCCTTTAACCATTAAGCTACTATGTAGCTGGCCTCTTTCTAAAAAATGTAACTATTTATTTGTTTATTTAATTGCTAGTAGATATGTGGGAGAGAGAGATAAAGTACCCCACAATGAAGCATGGTCAAAATGAAATCCTCCTTTTTCCATCTCTCCATCTGATCAGGACCTTAGGCACTCATATGCACATGCCTGGAATGTTTTTCAAGCTGCCAGGGCTGGGACTCTCAACACAGTGAGCCATGTGGGATCTGGCTCCCTAAACCCAGCACCCAAGAGCTGTTCTATTAGACCAACTCTTCCATCTCTTTGCTTTAACTGGGAGTGTTCTGACTGTTAACATTAGACATGATTTTAATCAAGTCTCTGGCCTCAATCTGGATGGAGAGGACATACTCATACTACCCTCATACTTCCTCGCTATAAAAATCACAGTTGTTAGATATTCAGGGCAAAATTTGTAACCTGTCACCCAAAAAATTAAAAAAAAAATCAAGTAGTTCAGTAAATAATGGTTCTCTTTGGGAAATAATTTGTTATTGTTATCTAACCGTGATATTTCCTCCTCCATCTTTTTATTTTTTTCTAATTTCCAAGGGCCAAACATTTTTATTACCCCTTATTCTAAAATATTATCCATTATTCTAAACATTCTTTCTCCTGCCCTATTCATCACTCTCAGGTCCAGCCCTCCATCTGACCACTCGAGACCTTATATTTGAACCTCATGACTTCAACTACTATGTGCATATAAATATGCCCAAATCTCTATGTGTGTCTTTATGTCTCACTTGCATTTCTGGTTCTCTCTGAAAGTCTTTATACTCTGATATACAGAGTATATACAATATAGCTTTGATTAGTTGTTCAACTAATATGCAGAGAGAATGAAAATCATAGATGGCTAACATTTCTTAACTTTCTTGTTGATATAAGATTTTTTTCCTGGGTAACATATGTTATCATGAAGATAATACTTGCTAAAAAGAAAATTCTGGAGTTATGAGTTTGGGGGTTCCAAGTCTATCTCTGCTACTTATTTATATGTGAGAGTTAGGATCCTCTAAACTTTAAAATTCTGAGCTTTCTTTAAAAATTCTTACTTTTCTTTTTTTGTAAATTAGAGATAACAGAGTGACCACTGTGTCACCATGGCTGGCCTCTTCTGACCTCCTTTTAAAATGGAATGTAAAACTGATTATTTCATCATATTCTCTTTGCTAAGAAAAACTAGACTACACCCTCTGACACCAATTAATTATCTATGAACTTCATGTTGGAAATGTTACCAACTGTGGTTTGCACTGTATTATCTATTCATGTCCTAAAGTCCCACATTATGTATACAATTGTGCATGTGCATGTGTGCATACATGTATGTGTGCATGTGCGTGCGTGTGCATGTGCATATGTGTGTGTGTGTGTGTGTGTGTGTGTGTAGGTAAAAGCTTTGACTGAAATTCTGTGAAAACCTTTTAGGAGTGTTACTTGACTTACAATAGAGGTTCCTTAATAACTTTATGTGTAATGATTTTGATGAAGCAATGTGATTTATGAAGATATCTTACTGCTTCTTAAGATTTTTCAGCCAGCTTCTAGTTTTCAGTTCTATCTTAACAGGTATAAGTGAATACCTGTTAAAGAATATAAGCAATTTCAATAGAGAAAAAGTCTGTTTGCCTCAGTGGAGAGTATTTTGACATTAATTTTTTATATATTTCATTATAAACCAATAATAGGTCAAAAAAGTTACTACAGAGGAGGTTATGATTCATTTGTCTGATAAGTGGACAAAAGGTTCTCCTTCCAACTTCCATCTGCACAAGATAAAAGAGAAATATCACAGTTCTTCCTTTTTCTCCCTTAATGGTTTCTCATTTTTCTTTCAAAATGCTAATAAACAAAGTTTATGTCCCACTTATTATTTTAATGTCAAGTTGGTATTGCCAATATAACACAAACTGCAGGGAATTATATTTCAGTTCAGTTAAAACTGGTTAACAAACATCTGCTCAAAAACACTTTCCTTAGAGAAAGAATTATTCTCCATTTTTAAAAGTTTTAACTCCATGAATTATTTCCTATTTGGTAATTTTACAAAATATACAAATGTATTTCAGAAGAATAGAACCTAATTTGAAAGATAACCTACTGTTTCCTCATCAGAAGGGTAATTCATGAAAAGTACACACCCTAGCGTCATGCATTATAGATGCAGAGGACACTTGTTTGATTCTTTGTCATAGCTGGAAGCAGGGGTCAACTGGGAAGAGTTACTCATTCACTTACCTCTTTAGGGTTTACTACTTGACAGGTGCTGGAAACAATGATGAGAAAAGCAGACCTGACCCACGTTCACAGAAACTAGTTAGGTGACACAGAGTTCAAGTATTTCTCCCAGGCCATAGCCAGAACCTTTACTCTTAAGCGCTCTTAGCTCCTGAGCTGTATTTCTCAGGTAAGCTTTGTTGGTTTGATGGATTAAGCACTCTTGCCCACAGCTGATCAAAGTAACTAAATCAAGTAAGTGTGAGCCTACTATTGGGTTGTCAGGAAAGTCATGATGCATTTTTGCATAGAAAAACAAGAAAAATACATCATAATTTGCCTGACAACCTAATAAATGGCAAAGACACTAAAAAGAAATAAAGGGAATTTGACTATGAGAGTAGATAGGAAATACACATGCAAAGAACTAAGAAAATTTGAGACATTTTTACCTAAACTCTCCCAAGTTTTCCCGCTTTATATTTTACATATTTGGCTCAAAATAATTCACTGTCTAATTAAATTCAAATTCATTTGTTTAGCATTTATTGACTACATATTATGTGATATATAATATATCTAGCTTTGAACTTATAAACAGTAAAGGTAATACAGCTCCTGACTTAAAGAAACTCACAGCATTATAGATACTTAGGAACTTCGAAAACTTTGTAGAAAAATAGAATTAAAATATAAGCTTATCTTGAAATCACTGAATAGATTTTTTTTTTTGTAATACGCATTTTCCATGAAATGTTTGAAGACCTCTTGTATGTATACATGTACCCATGTGTTTGTACATGTATTTGGTGAGGGGGTAGGAGCGAGGGGCCAGGTAGATTTTCAAGAGTCAGAATCAATTGTAAGAATCTGGGGGATATAGTATAAAGGGAGAACATTTAGTGAAAATACAATTTCGTTGAGAATAATGATTAAACCTGAAATGGCTGGTAGCAGTTTTGAAACAATAACAAAGGTGGCATGACAAGAATGGATCCTCGAAAGGGAAGGACTAGCTTAGAATCACAGAGATAGAAGAGAGAAGGCACCTATGTCCCCATGATAGCTGAAAACAGGACATGGAGAAGAACTGGAAAGACGAAGGTCAGCTGGACAGTGTGAATCTCTGCATTATTACGTATCAAATCATCAACACATTTCTTGCTGCAATGTAGGCAGAGTATTTTCCATACCTCATTAATTTTGGCCTCCTCTCCGTGAGATGCGTTGGCCAGTAGAGGCAGAGGCAAATTTCAAATATAAGCCTTAAGAGGTACCAAGTGAGTCGCCTCGAATCTCCGGGAGTTTCTAGGAACTCTGGGCCTTGGTCACAAATTCAGATAGGTAGAACCTTTTTTTATTTTTTTTTTCCAGCCAAACTGAACACCTGTGGGAATAAGTAGTTTGAGAATAAATAAGAATCTCTTTGAGAATGGTTATTCTCTATACTACTAAATTAAAGGATGTTTTGTTATGTACCAATAGCTGAATAATATATTTCCTGGTAGCTACAAAGAGGATGTGGGGTTCACAGACACCTACAGTGCCTCACACTGGCTTTGAGACAGGCTAATGGATAACAAAGAAACTCGTAAAGAAAGCTGGGTACAAAGTGAGTTTTATTATCAAATAGCAAAATAGTGCATAAACACTTACCTGTGGTCACTTGAAAGATAGAACAAATACATAATGAATTGGGCAAGGAAGTTCGAATAGAATTTTAAAAGCAGGAGATGAATGCTACTGGCTACACTTGGCGAGATATACAGGAGGTGGGTGCATCCAGAAAAGAGCTGAACAGTTTGAGTCCAGAAGGAATGGAGGGATAGATGTTACAGGATTGAAAAGAAAAGCATAGTCATCACAGCATAGTTGCAGGAAAAAGTAAAGAATCCGGAGCAGTAGAAAAGGACAGAATGCCCTCTGTTAAGATCACTAAATAAATTCAAGTGGTCTCTAGGACCTTCTTTGAAATGGACTGAAGAGTCATCAGAAAGTAAGCACAGGGGTGTGGTCCTATAGAAGTTTGATATGTAGGGACCAGTACATGCTGTAATGGTTACCCTGCTGGACTCCCACAGAGTTGACCTCATTTAAACCCCAACCTGGCAGCTTAAAATTCACAAAGTGTGTGTGTGTGCATGCATGCCAAAGATCCTGTGAGGAGAATGGAGGAGAAGGTATTGCAGCATGGCCATCCCCCCGGGGTGATTTCTCATTTTCTGTTTTTCTTTGTCTCTCTGGTGAGCATTGCTTTATTATTATTAAAAAAAAAAAAAGAAAAAAGAAAAAAGAAAGAAATCTGATATGTTAAAAAAAAAAGAACCATGATTATATCTAAAGAGGAAGAACAGCATGCCTAAAAATATTTTTAAAAAGAAAGGAAAGAAAAATACACGAGAAAAGAAAAGGACAACTTCTAGTTCTGGCTCTTAGCTCTCGGAATTCAATGGAATCAAATATACAAGAAATCTACAATTTTAAAGCTATACTAGCAAAGCCTCTGCCAGCTGGAATAAACGAAACATTTAAATGTAAAAATGTCTCTACAGGCAAGAAACAATCTGGGAAAGCTGCTTAGCCACAAAGAAGTACTGCTTAAAAGCAGTTGAGGATGACTATGGATTAAGGAGAAACTCCAGAGGGTAGTAGCACAGAGAGGGGTAGAGATCAGTGGAAGAGTAGTCACTTCCAGAGAGCAAATCTACAGTATAATACAGGAACATCTTCTTACTTCAAGGTAGGGGTGTCTGGTAACATCTTCTCAGTAGAAATTTAGAGTTCTTGGAAACTGTAACTACATCTGCCTCTTTAGCTCTCTTATAGAGATATCCATCCTTGTTTTGCCATTGCAAAATGGTTGTGTAGGAAGTAGATTACTTGTCTTTTTAGTTCACAAGTCTTCAAATCAAAAGGATTGCACGTGGACATGTTGAAGACAATAAGATTGTTGTCATGTCTGATGCTGCTGTAACAGATAAGTCTATTAGAGATTTTGGAATATGCGTGCATGTTTTGCATGCCAAAGGAGATGTAAGTATTTGTGAAGAAAAGGATAGACTAATTGTTAGCGATTGCTTAGCAAATATTCACTCCTCTCTATCTCCCATGTGAGCAATGTACCTTTCAAATTTACTAACCTTGATTTTGCCATGAGGCCTGTTTTGGTCAGTTGACATGGTAATGGGAATCATAAAATGCAAGATCTAGTCATAGACCATAAGAGCCTTTTAATATTTTTGTGGACTCCTCTTGTAAATTCTGACCTTTGTGAAGAGAAAAACATAGCACAGATAGCTCTGTACTTCTAGTTTAGACTCTGAGGCATGTGGAACAGAACAGCCCCTGGTATCCCATACATAATCAGCCTTTCCAATTAATCCTTAGAGCTACTCGAGATGAGACCTATAGACCTACAAGCATGAGGATAAGTGCATATTGGTACCTACTACTGTGTTTTGTGGAGTGTTTTGTTATGTAGCAATAGCTGACTGTTATCGACAGAAAATATAACCCTATGAGAAACAATGGACAACACCTGCTGAGAGTAGTAAGAAAAGTGATGTGAGGAGTAATATGACTGGACGACTGAATTATTTTTAAAGTAGTTATGAGAAATCGCAGAGAGGTAAGAAGGCACATAGAAAAAGGACTCTAGGGGGGTATAGGAAACACGTTTTCTTCTTTCTCTTTCTCACAGTGGGAGAAATCTGTTCCTTGCTTACCAAGTAGTTCCCCAAAATAAATCCTTCCTTTATCCTATGCTTTCTTGCCCTTTTAGAAATCTTATTATATTTATTTCTTCACTCTCATAGATCTTCAAATTCTCCCTTTCCTAATTACAAGCCTATTTAAATTTCCACTTTTAAAAAAATGTTACAGACTGAAATGCTGGGTAGAAAACAAGAGCATCAATGAAAAAGAAAGAATTACACTTTTGGGAACCAGCAGTTAGCGTAATGGCTATGTCGCTGGACTCCCATGTAGTCGACCGCAGTTCGTGTCCCGGACCCGGTGGCTTAAAACTCACGCTGTCTGTCTGGCGAGCGCACGCGCCCTACAGTGAAAATCTCTCCAAAAAAAAAAAGAATTACACTTTTAAAGCAATCACAGATTTGGAATTTATAACATATATATATATGTGTATATATATATATATATACACATATATATATATATTAGAGAGGATTTTTAACACGCCAGACAGAGAGACAGAAAGCAAGAAATCACCCCCCAGGGGGGATGGCCACACCACAATCCCTTCTCCTCTATTCTCCTCTCGGGATCTTGAGCACGCAGGCACACGCGCCTGGCGTGGGTTTTAAGCCACCGGGCCGGGACGCAAAACGCGGTTGACTACGTGGGAATCCAGCGACATAGCCATTATGCTAACTGCTGGTCCCCTAACTTTAAAATATTTTCAGAAGAGCAGCTTAGATGCTTGAAATTTTGAAGAGACCTAAGGTTTTTGTAAAAGGGCCAACTTTTAAATACCATTATCATGATAGAAGGTGTGTTACTCTCCAGTAAAGAGATTCATTAGTGTTAACCAACAACTTCATGCTTTTTTAAATGTATAAACTGTAGATCTTTATTTTTTTCCTTTATTTTTCTTAATTTTCCACCTAGTTCTCACAATAAATAGACTAGTACACTAATATTACTGCTCTCATCTTAAATTACAACCTGCCAAGACGACTGACAGAGTAAAATTCAGAAGTAAAATTTGTCAATGTCTCTTGAATTTCTAGTTCATTCTTGAGTACTACTTGGTGTTTTTCATGTCACTCCAATTATTCTAATAAAGTTGGACATTCCCCAATCCTTTCTGATCACCAAAGTGTTCCTTTCCAGATTCTATCTACCTTAAAATCTCAATAGCATTTAGAATGATTGGCTTTATTTCCTCTTTCAACTAGTTTTCCTTGGTTTCTATAACCTGACATTGCCCATTGCCCGTCTTTTGTTACCAATTCTTTAGGTTCTTTTATGTACAGCTCATATCCTGATGCTTTAACCCACGCAGATACTGTTGGTTTTTATTTTTCTTCTGATTTACCTACCCTACATTCTTTACCACAGCAATCCATACTTGTGCTTGACTCTGAAACCCTGAACTATGTTTTTGTTTTTCCCTTTTCTATACTTCTCAATTCTCCTCACTTTATCCACTGTAGTTAATATTTATTTACGGTTTTATGAAAATTTTTTGTGTATTGTTTCCCACTTGTATTGAAATCATATATCCTTTAAAACAATGCATATGTTTATTAAGGTTAAGTGCATCTTCTTCATTTTCTAATCCTCAAGATTAGAAATTGTAGTTTCTTGGGTAAAAATGATAAGCAGGGGCTAGCAGGTGGTGTTGTGGTTAAGGTACTGGATTTCTACACGGCAGACTGTGGTTCAAGTTCTGACCTGACAGCTCGAAAATCACACTGGGCATGTGAGCCTGTGTGCTCAAAATCCTAAGAGAATGGAACAGAAGGGATTGTGGCATGGCCATCCCTCCTGGGGTGGTGGTAGTGGAGGGTGATTTCTTACTTTTCTCTCTCTCTCTCTTTGGCAAGTGCGTGTGCCCTATGGAAAAAAACAAATAAACAAACAAAAAACTAAAGAGAGAGAGAGAAAATGAAAAATCATCCCTCAGGAAGGATGGTCATGCTTCAATGCCTTCTCCTCCATTCTTCTCCATTCTCTTCTAGGGTTGTTAGGCACCCAAGCACGTGTCCAGCATGTGCACTACCCGTAGGCCTGGAGGTATATAATTTTTTTCTTCTTTTGGAGAGGTTTTGTAGGGTGCGTGCGCTCACCAGAAAGACAGAGAGAGACAGAGAGATAGAAAGCGAGAAATCACCACCCAGGGGGGATGGCCACACCGCAATCTCTTCTCTCCTCTCGGGATCTTGGGCACACACGCACATGTGCCTGGCGTGAGTTTAAGCCACCGGGTCCAGGACTCAAACTGCGGTTGACTACATGGAAGTCCAGCGACATAGCCATTACGCTAACTGCTGGTCCCCAGGTATATTTTTAACAATATGTTATCTGGTCTCAAGAAAGTAAAGCATGTGAATACATTGTTTTCTTATTTACTTATTCTAATAATTGTTACAATGTAATTCATGTAATTTTCCAGTACATGAATACAACCTGTAGTACAATTTGCAATGACTAAATTAGGGTAATTAGTATAGGCATCATCTAAGCCATTTGTAACATTATATGCAATAAGTTAACCACTTTCTCCCCATCCTATTTTATAACACTAGACATTGTTCTCTGCAACTTTATTTCCTTAATCAATATCTCATATCCCTCAATCCTTCCCAGTAGCCAGTTCTCAATCTTTATAAGGATACCTTGTTTTCTAAACAATGGCATCAT